ACCTTATGGATTTAACTATTTGATTTTTATTTTTATTTTTGAAGCATTGGGAGTCTGGGAATAGATGGAAAAAGTGATTGAAGCATCGGGAGTCTGGGAATAGATGGAAAAAGTGAGACAGTAGAAGATGTCCATGTTAGCTACGTTGTATTTACAGAAACTACAAATGGGGCCAGAATAAAGACTTGGCAGGTAATTGGTTCTTAATTAATTTTAAGTAAGGATTTGAATAATAATTATAATATTATAATTTAATTTTTATATGTCATAATTTCCATTTAATCCCTAATCTCACGTAAACAGGGTGGAAAAGGGTTTGCTAGAAACATTGTCTTCGAAAACATAAGGTCTGAGGGTGCAAGAAATCCTATAATTATCGACCAATATTATTGTGATCATAAACATTGCACAGATCATGTGAGTATATATATATCCAACGAATTAAGTCTCTTTTCCACATCTATCAAAGATTTTAAAAAATATATATATTTATTTATTGCAGAGTTCAGCAGTAAAGATTAGCAGAATTCGATTTGAAAATATATACGGGACATCCCACAGAAAACCCGCAGTGCATATTGCTTGCAGTGAGTCAGTGCCGTGCACCGATATCGTGCTCAGCAATGTTCATTTGGACGACGACGACGACGACGGTGACGGTGATGAGCCATCTACATATTGTGCGAATGCTCAAGGACATGCAAGGGGCCATGTCTTTCCACCACTCACCTGCTTGTCTTAAAATTAATCATCAAGCCCGTCTGCCATTGACGAACTAAGACGTGATGCTACATGCACACACACACACTCTTTAAATTTCTTATCATTTTTAATCCGGGACACCTTCAAGTATCTAGTGATTTTATGATTTATGTACATGGGGTGTGTATATATTTATCCTTTTTTGTAAGCCTTATTATTATCTTTAGAATTGAAGGAAACTTAGTGATGACGTGAGAATTTATTTATTTATTAATTATTTGGATTAATTGATTCGGTATTATTTCAATTACTATAACTAAAAATATATTTCATGGAGGGAGGGAGGAGCTGTTTTTTTTTAATAATTTTTATAAAATTTGGAATAGACATGTTTTTCATAGGTAAATTAGTTCTAATTAACCCAATAACCTTATAGTTACTTTCAGGGAGTCTATCAAGCAATTGAATGCCTTTTTTTCATTATTAATAACTTAATATTCTCAGTGCCATTATTACTATTAATTATTCCTCGTATATTTTGGTTTACAAGAGGCTTGAACTCAAGGAATGATGCAATAGGCATGAGACTTGGATAGTTTTTCCCCCCTCTAATTACAAAGGAAGATTTGAACCTGAAATAAATAAATTAATTAATTAATTAAAAGACTTGGATAGTTTCAACTTGATTAAAAAACACAAGTAAAACCGAACCGTTTAGCCAAACACGCCATTGCATGGAGAGGGGTGAAGAGATTTTGAGAGAGGGAAATTTTTGGGTTTCGGGTCCTTCCCTTCCTTCCTTCTTTCATTCTTTTTTTTTTTTTTTAATTTAACACCTTTTTTTTCAAGTTCATTTTGTACTACAACTATATATTATTTATTTTTTTAACTATATTTATAAAAAAAATGTTTTATCTTTATTTTGATTCACTATTACCTATAATATTAACATTTGAAAATAATAAAATTCCAACAAAGTTTATCAAAATTATTAAATTAGATTATCTTATATTGATTTTTCACTTATTTAGAGAAAGCTATTAACATAATTTGTATTATTTCATTTTAAAAATAGTATTAATTTATAAAAACAATATTTATTAAAATAAAGGTTCATAAATTTCTTTTATTTATACTTATTCTATTTATAAACTATATTCACAATACATGTAATTAAAAATGAATCTTTCGAATAATAAGATTCGTGCCAGCACCAACCCTAAATAAAAATAATTCACATAATATATTTTATATATTTATATATAGAACATTATAATAACAACAATGAAACTCCTTTTCTCTTTTTATTTCTTCTATTTTAATTTTTAATTACATATGCTGGTAAATGAATTGGTATAATTTTTTTAGTATTATTATTTTCTAGAGATCTAATTATAAAATTCATATACATATATGCAACAGAAAGAATTACACAAACTACTATCTATTTTGTATCTATATCTTTTTTTTATTTATTTCAATGCAATATAAATTTATTTATATGTTTTAAAAATAAAAATATAATTTAAATAATAAATTTTAAATATTTATTTTTTAAAAATAAAATTTGAATTTAATAAATGATAAAATTTGAATTATAAATAACCTAAAATAATCAATTAAATATTATAAAAAACAACTATTATTTAATTGTTGAATAATACAGTCCAGATCCGCCAAAGGTCCAAAACGTAGTTATCAAAAAAGCAAAAAGCTCTTAGCAGATTCAAAGCCCAAACACAAACGAGCAAACAAAAGGCCAAACCCAGTCCACCTGCCTAAAACCCCACAAATAATCTCCTCCATCCCTTACAAGTAAAAACCCTAGCTTAGCTTCTTCTAAGCTGAAAAAGAAAACACGGTCCTCGCTCGCCTCTTCCTATTTTCTCTTCGCACACAAGAAGAAATCTGAAAATCAGTGATGTTGAAGGTTAAAACCCCAAAGTGCGGAAGAGTCAAGCGAGAGCTTGAAAAACGAGCACCAAAACTTGTAAGCTCTCGGCAACCAGCCAGCCAGCCAGCCATCCAATCTATTATTCATGTTTCTCTTTGGTTTCTATCAAAAAGGATATTTTTTTCTTAATGGGTTTCTACTTTTTTGTGTTTTAATGCAGGTTGAGACGGGGAAGAAGACACTGATACTACAAGGAACAAAAACAAGCAATGTTTTGAATACTGTATTGAGTGAAATATACCATCTCAAGAGAGATAACGCAATTCGATATACGCGTAAGAATGACAGTATAAGGCCTTTTGAGTCCGGTGGCGAAACTTCTTTGGAGTTCTTTTCTATGAAAACCGATTGCAGTATCTTTGTGGTGAGTTTGGTGCCAAAGCTTTGTTCAATTAGAAATATGTATTGTATCTTGTGGTTTTACTTCATTTTTTTGTTTTAATTGTATTGAATTGGATATCAATCTTGTTTTATGCATGCATTGCTCGAAGATGATTACTGTAGTAATTTGATGTGGAAATTGGCATATGAGTGTGATAGCTTATGCAAGGACGGATATTTGGACGTTTTCTCTGTTTTCAATATGATTAGGATATTGAGGAATAGGAATGGTGCTTTTTTTTTTTCCTGACATTGATGCTTAGTTTCAAAGGCAGTGAGGCAATTTGAGGTGATTTCAGAATGCTGCTAAAGTTTTGAAATGATTTTCTTTACATAAGATAGTAAGTTTTTTAAGATAGGTGTAACGTTTTTTATTGTCTTTAAAAGTGGCTGTAGTTTTTTAAGATATTTGCTGGTTTTTATTATTTTGTTTCTTCCTTTGCTATTTGCTGAATGTATGCCTTTTATTGGGTTCATGAATTTGTGATACTGTGTGTTATATTTTCTATGCAAATTACTCGACTTGATCTTCTATAGCAACATAGCTATGTGTATTTTCTGTTGTTGGAATTGCTTTGTTGTTCAATTTCCACCTATTTTTACATGTAACTCTCCACTGTCGCATATTTTCCCTGCTTATTTTTTGATCTGAGTGAGTAATGGAATTTGCCCACTGTTGATTTTAGAAATGAAGTGCTGCTTTCTTTGCATCATATTTTTTATTTTCCTTGGAAAAATGTGATATTGCCACGTCTACTTAAATATGTCTCTTGGAATGTATTTTGCAGTATGGTTCCACCTCAAAGAAACGTCCTGACAATCTTGTCATAGGGCGAACATATGACCACCACATATATGATCTTATAGAAGTTGGGGTTGAAAATTTTAAACGAATGAATTCCTTCACTTATGATAAGAAACTAGCTCCGCAAGCAGGATCAAAACCTTTCATTGTTTTTAGTGGAGAAGCATTTGAGAGTGTAGATGAGTTGAAACATCTGAAGGAGGTTTTGCTTGAGCTCTTAAGGGGAGAGGTTTGTATCTTCACCTTTGCTCCTTCCTTTCTCAATTTTAAAAGATAACGAAATAAGCTTTGACCCAATTCATGCAGGTTGTGGATAATTTGAATCTTGCTGGGTTGGGCCGTGTTTATGTATGTACAGCTATATCTTCAAATCGGGTGTTCCTCACTCACTGTGCAATGCGGCTAAAAAAGTCTGGCACAATAGTCCCCAGGATAGAACTGGTAGAAATCGGCCCTTCCATGGATTTTGTAGTTCGTCGTCATCGTCTTCCTAATGAAAGCTTAAAGAAAGAAGCCATGAAAACTGCTAAAGATAAGCTTCATAAGAAGGTTAGCTAGCTAAATACTTCCCCCGTTTCATCTGAGAATGAATTGGCATTTCGTTAATGTTGCCAGTTTTCTGCTTGCAGATTAAAAATGTTAGTAAAGATGCTCTACAAGGGAAGCTTGGAAAGATTTATGTACCTGATCAAAAGGTAAGTAAACATTCATTCATTGCGAGGATTGTTGTGAGGGTGAATCTGATCTCGTGCTGGATGTGGCCTTATTTGCCCATGGCCAGCAGACATGTTTAGTTTTAAATTGCGTCTCTTTATTGTAACCTCTTTTTTTTTTTGTTAAGTTTTGTGATGTGGATGATTTTGTTTCTTTAGATTGGAGAGATGGCGCTACCTAACAAAGCTAAAGGAGTGAAGAGAGAGCGCCGTGAAGCTAAAATGAAGAACTCAAATGATGAGCGCTCATCAAAAAAGCAGAAAGAAGATTCTTAGATAAATACTTTTGACTCCCAGGCTGCTGCTGTATTTAACTCTATGTTACGTGAAGAGAGAGTGTCGCCAAGATGGAAGAACTCAAATATTGAACCCGAGTTTCTTAGATAATTATTTCGACTCCAAGCTGCTGCATTTAACTTTATGTTTTTTTCTTTTATGTTTTTTCTGTTGTTGGGGAAGGAGAGGGTTACTGCATTCTGATCTTTAGTGGAAATCAAATGCGGCAGATTCAAGCAGCAAATATATTCTCTCTTACTATTTCCATATACTTTGTATGCTTATGAGATTTTGGGTATTTTCTGCTGCAAATTATATTGCTTTCAGTTGCAGATGCCAAAATGACACTATTAGCAAGATCAATTTTTTCTGTGAAAGAACCCGAAGATGTTCAATTTTTATACATTCTAATAGCAATTGGAACACCAGAAAAGGTTTTCAAGGAAAAAAGAAAAAGCTTTTAGTTGCTCTAGATTTAATTGGGTAAATTGGGCCAGGCATGTAAAGCGTTCGTAGTGAAGAAGCTTATCACCAGTAGCATGACGAATAATACAAATTTCTCCGTGAATCTCTGTTTTTGTTTTTACAGCTTCATTTGAACCGAATCATCCTATTCCATGGAGCTCATATTTGCATGTTGGAATGCTACTGCATTTTATGAGAATAAATTGCACCGAAGTAGTTCGCAGGCTTTGTTCCTGGAGGTTCTTAATCAATTGACAAGTTCGTATCTGAGTCGAAATGTATGGTTGGCTACTAGCTGCAGACAGAGATTAGCAGCAGCAGCAGCATTGATAGGATTTGTTGCTGCGGCGAGAAAAGCCAGAACTGCCGGCTTGCTGTCATCTTGTCATGTCTAGGGTCACGGTTGGAGCCATTGTAATTCCATGCTGTTGTCTAAGCATATTGGCTTCCCTGCCTTCATTTTGATCCCCTAATTGTTATCCAACCAAGAAATTGGAGATCAGATTTAATGAAAGAAAATCAGAAAGTCCGTGAGTCATAAAATACCAACATGTTCATGCATGTCTTTCATGGTATCTAAATGTTAACTTGTATAATTCTCTGGATAAACTTTGCTAGTGAAGTTTACGAATATAAAGACCAGTAAATGTAGACCAAGTTTGTCGTCCAACATTTTCAGGTGTTCAACATTTTCCTACACAACACTCTGTCGGTGAACAACTGGTAGCTGAGGAAGGGCTAACGGCAAGGGTCATTCTGACAAGTTTATTTACTTGTATTTTTTTGAAGGCTAATGGAAACAGAAAGCTTATAAATATCTGCAGCAGTGCACTAGCCAATCCACACAAGGGTCCTCCTCCAAATCATATTGGCCCCTTAATCTTGAGCAATAGCAACAGGAGTAGAAGCATGCAAAACCCATCAGCAACGCATATACTGCTCCACTCATGAAACATGCTGCCATTCCACCCTGTAAACATGCAGTTTAAGCCATGAAAGAAATTTAAAAAAGAAGAAAGAAAATCTTTTTTAGAGAATTAAAATCAGCTGATCGATTAGCCTGATTTACTTGTGGATCCTCTATTCACTATTTACGCAATCTGTGCAAATGTGATTCAAGGACAGGCAAGTGATCACACCAAAGAAATTAAAGTGCTACTAAGAAACTAAAGAAAAGGCTACAATTAAGTAACGATACTTTATAGTTTAAGCTAGAAAACTGGAAAATCTAGTTAAGTTTAAAACATGCTTACAATTTTCAGGATTATCAGAGCAAAGGCAAAGACCAGTGGACCACTTCCCTGCTACAACACGAACGTGCCTCATGGCCATATGTGGAGCATAAGGGTGTATCGGATTGGGTTTTGGAACTCCTGAAACAAGAATTGGACCTTGATGGACATCGGCTGAGTATATTGACTGGTCATGTAACGGAGGATGCATCTTGTTATAAAATCAACTGTCTATTTTTTTTCAATCCTGCAACTAGAAATAAAAATCAGAACCCCTTCCTCTTCAAGTTCCAGGAATCTCTATGCAATGTTCTCTGCCCTCATTTCCTTTTAGTTTATCTAGTTTCTGAGTGATTCTTCAAGCAGTTGTTTTATCTTGAGTCCAATTTCCTGGACTATTTCTCCTCCTTCGAAAGTTTCTTGGAAGATTACAAGTCCAGGATTTTAACTTGTCGCTGACCAAGACTACTCAGAATTCAGTATCATATTATTCTTGCTTCATAGCTGATAATTAACACATAATTATATATTACATGTTACATTAGGATAAACAAAACACGAGGCCGGTCATTCATTACCATGGAATGTTGCTGATTGTTGATGTAGTGCCTCTTAAGAGGGAGCACAGTACCATCGTGAGTACCCTTTACAAAACAAGAGGGATCAGGATTTGGGTTAGAACTCTAGGTTAAACAACACATCATTAATCATAAAAATAAAATAAAATAACTGACATCGTCATCTTGCTCCTCAATGCAACCATGCAAGCCCAAGACAAATGAAAGTGAATTGTTGTTCACCGGTTATACTCTACTCTTTCTTTCCTTGTTCTTTGTTTTCTTCCAATTTGTCTGTCTTCTACTGTTCCACAATGAGATTTTAGCTGAGAAAGATTTCCAGTATAGTCCAGATTTTAGCACTGTAAGGCCCATTTCTTAAAATGAAGTTTCAAGGCCTACACACTTCTCCAGGGCCCATTATCTCTCTAACCTGGATAGTCCTCTTTTTTTGGGATATTTATTTACTTACTATACGCGTGTGTGAATGGGGTTTTTGGTTTCCTGTGAGAGTGTACTTTGAGTTTTGAGCCTGCAACTATGAAGCGATTTTTCAAGCCAATAGAGAAAGATGGTTCTGCGAAGAAACCAACACTGTCCACAAACCAAGAAGACAATGAAAAAAAAGGGGCTTCAGAATCAGAGGAGACCAGCAACAGTGGCAATACCATGAAGAAAGAGCCATTAAAGTTCATTACTTGGAATGCTAATAGCTTGCTACTTCGAGTCAAGAACAACTGGCCTGGGTTTTCAAAGTTTGTCTCTGACATTGATCCTGATGTCATTGTCATACAGGTGAAAAACGCAAGCAAATTCTCCATCTTTTGATGTCATCTTTCTCAGTTTTTATACGGGAACTTAATAAAATTTGGTTAATGGGTGTAAAGGTGAAGTGGGTTTTTGATGATTGATTATACTAGATTATAATGCCTAGCATTGTGATCTTATAGTTCCCTGTTGTCTAAAGTTGGAATAGTTTAGCTGAATTTTTACCCTTTGTAGTATTTGGTTTGATGGATTTTGCATGTTTTTGAGTTTGATGTTGATTTGGTTGGTATCCAAGGAAATTCAAGGGAATTGTGTGCGTGCATGCGAGTGCTTGAGGGTAGAGACATTCAAGTTTCTAGTTGTTTAAGAGGGTTTCAACTTGTATAATTAACTGAAAAACACGGTTAAGTCCCTGGTAAGACAGTTGATACGAAAAAACCTAAGGGAAATGTTTTTTTTTTCCCCTTCTTTTCATGTATTGAGTTAATGAGAAGAAGGAGTTTTACATTTTCTGATTTATTTCGTGATCTTCTTCCCTACTGAGTCCCTCACATTTGAGTGGGTCGTAGTTTAAATCTCATTTATGGCACGTCAATTTGGTTCAGACACATGCTAATCCTAAGTTGAATGAACTTTTGATGAGTATGGGATGATAAGCTATGTAACTGAACATTATTGGTAGGAAGTAAGGATGCCCGCTGCTGGCGCAAAAGGTGCACCTAAAAACTCTGGAGAGATCAAAGATGACACAAACTCTTCCCGTGAGGAAAGGAAGGTAGCGTTTGTTTATATTGCAATAATAAGACAATTTTGAGTAAATAATTGTTTATACATTAATTTCTTCTCAGGTTATTCTCAGGTTACCATGAATTTCTTTAGCTTGGTGCTTCATAGAGTTGCTTTAGGTGTTATAATGGGCTCATCATACTATGATGTGGGGTACTCATGCCAAAGAGATGAATCCTTTATTGAGCTTCATCTTGTGCCGGTTCAATATTCCTAGAACCTCATAGTTTTTTTCTTCTCATACTTTTTCAGCTTTCGGTGATATGGAACATGGCTTGCCTCATAACCCATGCAAGTTCTGAAGTTTCCAAGGTTTGATGAATGCTTGGTTGTGTTTTAACTTGCCCATATGAAATTGGCCTGCTACTTCAGAAATTATCAATCTCTCAGTAAGATGTCTTGGTTATGTATTAATCAGTGAAGCGCTACTAAATTTGATGGAATCTACTAAAGTTAATACAGATTCTGTGATGAACAATTTTCATGTTTTCTGATCTAGAAATTGTAACTCATTGGTTAGTATTGTTACTATTGGTCTTTCTATAAAAAATGATTTCATGTAATTCTACTGCAAGGGATGTGTATAAGACTCAAATTTCTAATGTTTAACACAACCTGTAATTAGTTTTTGTCGAATCATGCAGATATTAATGAGTGCTCTTTCCAGTTCACCATTCGGAAATTATCGTGTTTGGTGGTCCCTTGCGGATTCAAAGTATGCTGGGACTGCATTGTTAGTAAAGAAGTGTTTTCAACCAGTAAAGGTCTCTTTTTCTCTTGACCAAACAGGTAGCTTGGTTTGAATCTCCTATTGGATCTTTCACTATCATAAATTAGACCTAACTGCTTTGTTTCATTAAGAATATTTCTATTCAATGCCTACCTTTAGACACTGTCATGTGTGTGTGTGTGCGCGCTCACAATATAACCCGTTATTGTATGCTTCTTCCAATTTATAACATTTCAACTTTTCAGGACAAAATACATGCTTATGTCCACTATAATTGGAGAATGCTTTTTTTCCCCCTATAAATTTTAATTTTAGGTTTTTTCTTTACACTAATATGCATTTGCACACCTATTCCTTAGGTCTTTCCTTCTTTCCCCCTTTCCTTTTGCATATAAAGTGACAATCTCTTAAACACTCTATCCTTGTTGTTTAGCTTCAAAGCATGAACCAGATGGAAGGGTTATTTTAGCTGAATTCAAGACATTCCGTTTACTAAATACATATGCACCAAATAATGGTTGGAAAGAGGAAGAGAAATCATTTCAGAGGAGAAGGAAATGGGATAAAAGAATGCTAGAGGTTGTTGTGCAGTTATCAGATAAGCCTCTTATATGGTGTGGTGATCTGAATGTTAGGTTGGCATTTTTTTATTTTTTTTTGTCTTTCCTTCTTTTGCAGTGGATGGGAGGTTGTTATTGCCCGACTTTCAATTGTTTGTCTTCATTTTTCATTTGCATTTCTTTGTTTTGACTACTTAGCTCAAGGATCCAGCTGCTAATAATCTATGTGGTTGGTTTTAAACACTATAATTGATCTTGATAGATGTACTGACCTGAATATTGTTGTGTGACCTAAGGTTGTCACTGCTGCACCGGTAACCTTTGCATCTTTCTTTCTAGAATGGCACATGCTAGTACAGGATCACATTCATTCACAATTTGAAGTATAAAGAAACGCATTCCTGAGAAAATATAAAAATAAACAGTAAATATAAAACTTTATGATAAAGAAAATATAATAGTAGTCCATATCTTGTCTAAATTCATAGAACTCTTTGAATAATATCTAATAGCTGTATTGCATAAGACAGATGTCGGACAAGTTTGGGGAAAGCTGTAGATGTTTGTTTCTAGGTTAGATTAATATAATTTGTGAGTTTAGAGGCTTCTAAATTGGAAATAGATCTGAAAGTACATAAAATGGAACAAATCATGGCAGTACACTACTTGTTTTACACCACTAGATTTAAGGCATCACTCAGTTGAAAAACCCAGGCATCGTGCCTAGGGGTAAGAAATCAGTCCTTAAAGAAAACATCACACTTTCAAGAGACATAAACCAATCAGTTGCCCTTTTATTCATAACTTCCTGCTGAAATTGAAAGACTGCGATCTTGTTTAAAAGTTTGAAATATTCCTAATCATAATTAGACTTGAACTGCTAAACAAGAAACATAATTTTCTTACTTTGACTAGGAAAGAGAAACCTAAATGAAAATTCTAAGACTTTGAAATTAGATTATAGTTGATATTTCATAAATATCTAGAAAATATTCCTCTTTGGAGGAAATTTGCCCTTTTCTTTACGAGGACAAGCAAGCCTGTTATTGATTTTTCAAGAAAATATTCATGCAATTATTCCTGCTTCTTGAAATGCATTCAATACTTTTTCATGAGGCTTTCCTTCAATCTTCATTTTCAATATGCAGCCATGAAGAGATAGATGTGAGTCATCCAGAATTTTTCAGTGCAGCAAAGGTCAATGGCTATGTTCCTCCAAATAAAGAGGTGCTAGCATTTTGTCTGGAAATAACTGTGGCCTGCTTTAGTTTCCGAGTAATATTTTGATACATGCACAATCTTGTAAACTTGCCTTTCAACACCGAAACTATTAGAAATGGTAGACAAGTTGATGAGCTGCTGAAATGGGAAGGAACATATTCATTCTTTGGGGTTCCAACTATTTAGTATACTTCTCTATCCCAACAGTCACTAACATAAATGCATTTGCTTGACTTTTTGATGTTGTAGGACTGTGGACAGCCTGGATTTACCTTGAGTGAGAGGAAGCGTTTTGGTGCTATACTGAAAGAGTGCGTGACTCCACTGAAAAATATATACCTTTGTGCTTTTAAAAAGCAATTAAGATGCTGAAACCATGTGCCATTTTTTGAGAAAGAGATTGAAGTTGCTTAGAAGTGATTAACAGCAACTTGTACTGACAATTCCTTTCCCTTCTCTCCAAAACAGTTAGATATAAAGTTGCAGTGTTTCATGTTTGATATTTTATTTATCTCCGCTTAATCTTTTTATCTCACTGAAACTGGGTTTATTGGTCACAGTTTCATTCTTGTTCTTTGAGTAGAATATTTCTTTTTCCAATTTTTCCTGCTTAATGTATTTCTGTGCTTCATTGTGCTTTAGGGGAAAGCTGATAGATGCATACAGATTTCTTCACAAAGAGAGGGACATGGAGCGTGGCTTCTCATGGTCTGGAAACCCCATTGGAAAGTAAGAAACAATTGACGTATAGTTCAGTAGCTCAGCATGCATAGGAAATACATGCTGTAAATAGCACTTCTAAAATATGAGCCATCAATTACTGGATTGTGAAAAACTGTACCTTTTTCATGCATTACAACTCTTATAATTTTGTGTTGTGGGGAATGATTTGTTTTTCCTGATGGGCAGTTACCT